CAGGAGGCAGGCTTCCCGCTGAGCAGAGAGCTGGATGTGTGGCTTGATCCCAGGACCCAGAGATCATGACCTAAGCCGAACGCAGAGACTTAACCCCCTGAGCCACCCAGGCTCCCCATGTTTACATTTTCTTACAATTCTCACCATATATTACCATTCTTTCCAGACGATAATTTTGAAATTAAAAAATGTTTCACACATTTTAGAGACTCAACACAAATGACGCTAATTGATTCTTTGTCCAGCAAAATAGTAGACTCAGTTGTTGGGTATAAACACACACACACACACACACGCGCACGCACACTCCTTGATGCATTCTCTAAACTTCTTTAGTGCAGGAAGGCAATCGAACTTCCTTTTGAAGAGGGAGCCAGAATGGTTCCCTCTCGCTCCAGAATTTTGTTTGCAAAGGTCAATGATCTGGGCACATTGGTGTCATATCCACTTCTAGGCAGAGAAATACAAACAGGAGAGATAAGATGAGTAAGTAATACTTAAAAAGTTAGACACATAGTACGTTTATATAGCCCACTGCCTATATATAGCACAACTAGTCTTACCTTCGATGTGAAATTCCTTGTCACTCTGAATTTGGACTGTCTTTAGATTGTTGTTGAGGTATTCCCACATTTTAGAATGAAAGTGCTCTTTTAATACAAAAACTGTGGGAGTAATCTTAAAAACCTGATGAAGGATAGTGATTAAGAAAGGGGGATCTTGGGGCACCTGGCTGGCTTATTCGGTCAAGTGTCTGGCTCTTGATCTGGGCTCAGGTTATAATCTCCGGGTCATGAGAAGGAGACCCGCCTAGGCGCTGCAATCAGCAGGAGTATGCTTGAGATTCTCTCTCTCCCTCTGCCCCTCCCCCACCAAACCCTGTGCATGCACACACTCTCTCTCAAAGAAATAAATACATCTTTTAAAATAAATAAATAAATGTTAAAAGGGGATCACAGTGTTGACAACCCCCCACTTAGAGCTAATTTCCCAAAATGTGCCTCCTGTAATCATTGTTTTTGCTGTGTGTATGGCAAATGGTGCTATGAACCTGGGAAGATACTCCTTTTAAAAGATACTCCCTCCCCCAGTAGAATAATCCCATAAGTGTGCTGCATAACTTCCCTGTCTTCCACAGATATCTCTTCATGTGTAAAGTCTTTGACATTAAGAGGTGAACCACAACTATTTATTGAACAACTATCAAGACCAATGTTCATTTCTAAGTACCAAGAGAAAAAGACAAATTAAGCAAAGGTGTATTCTTTTAATTTTATTTTTATTTTTTAAGGATTTTATTTATTTATTTGGCAGAGAGTACAAGCAGGGGTAGGGACAGAGGGAGAGGAAGAAGCAGACACCCCCACTGAGCAGGGAGCTCTAGATGGGGCTCTATACCAGGACCCTGGGATCATGACCCAAGCTGAAGGCAGATACTTAACTGACAGCCACCTAGGCATCCCAAGCCATGTTCTTTATAAAAATTTTTTTAATTATGGTAAAATATACATAAAATTTACCATCTTAACCATTTCTAAGTGTACCGTTCAGTAGTGTTAAGTATATTCACATTATTATGTGATCAATCTTTACAAGTTTTCATCTTGAAAAACAAAAACTTGTACCCATTAAACAAAAACTACCCATTCTCTCTCCCCTAGCCCTAGGCAACCACCATTCTACTTCTGTTTTGGAGTTTAATTACTCATACCTCTTTCATCTAGTGAAATCATAGAATATTTGTCTTTTCAGGGCTGGTATATTTCACTTAGCCTAAGGCCTTCCAGGTTCATCCATGTTGTAAGGCGTCAGCATTTCCTTCCTCCTGAAGGCTGAATAATGTCGTGCTGTAAGTGTACGCCACGTTTACTTTACCCACTCATCCCCTGATGTGCATCAGAGTTGTTTCCACCTGTCGGTTGTTATGAATAACGCTGCTGCAAACATGAATATGCAAATATCTGAGCTGCTGCCTTCAATTGTTTTGGATCTATTCCCCAAAGTGGGATTGCCAGATCATGTTGTAATTCTGTATTTAATTTTGGGGGAACCACCATTTGTGATGCTCTTCTTTGATGTAGGAGTCTGAAGTTGGGAGGAGAGCTCCAGTGATTTAAATCTGAGAGTCATCAGAATATGGCCAATACACGTGTTGGGTCAGATCAATACAAGCAAACTCTTACTTAAGAAGCAGAGACGTTGTGATTGAAAGCAAACTGAAGAAGGCAGGTTTTCTGACTGCATCCACACAGTGGTCCTCAACTTGAAAATTCACAGACCCAAATTTGTCAATTCACAGCAAGATGATTCTCTGTTTCTGGGGACTGATTTGTAGTAATCAAATCTGCAGGAGACACTGATAAAGGGGGCTTTTGAAAAATTAAATTAGGTGGATAATTGAAAATGCAAAATTAACTGGAATACTAGAATCTGTTAGTCAGTTCATACCCTTATGGCAATGTCTCCTTGGGAAGCCAAATCAACATCAATACGTTGATGATAAAATTAGAAAAAAAGGAAAGAAAGAAAGAAAGAAAGAAGGGGAAGGAAAGGAAAGGAAATATTTAACTCTAAAGAATCTGGCAATTTGATATGCCCCAGGAGTTGTGCTTGTGTGGGGTTCTACCTGCCAAACAACCAAAAACATTTGGCTGAACAGAATGTCCTCTTGGATGAATACAGCCATCCCCTCCTCTTTGCTCAGCTCTCTATTTTCCAAAATTCACTCCTGCCTGCCATTATCACCCCCATTAACACAAAGGCTGCCTTTCTGGGATCCTCAGGGGAAGAAAAGGGAAGTTTCCAATTAGTGTAACAATTCAAGTCTTGTGGAAATCACATATATAAGTAAGGCTACTTAAAATAATTGAAATGTAATTTTGGCAAACACCTACTCATCTTTTAGGCACTCACTTCGGGGGGGGGGGGGACGGTCAACTCCAATAAGACATTTTCTCTGATTTCTTCTTAAGTGCTCATTCACTCTCTATTGTTTTTCTTCTTCTTTTTCCCCCCTTTTTTTCTCCTCTCCATGTGTGTCTCTCACATTATTTTTATCATCTATATGTATGGTTCCTTTCACCAGACTGTGAATTTTGTTTTATTCATCTTTCTAGCCCCAATAGTTAACATGATGTCTGGCACATCATGGTTGCTCAGAAAATATTTGTTGAATGACTTAAAACTACATGATAACTACCAGAAACTTGACAAAGTATGCATGTATTTAATAAAGTCATGAATGAACTAGTACCTAATGCATGAAATTTGGTAGACAATACAGGGTGTGTGGGGGAAAGACAGTAAAAGGTGTCACAGAATGGAAAAATTACCTGCATAGGAAAGGTAATCATAAATTAAGCCAACTTGTCTTAGTGTGACTTTTGAGAGGTCAAGAGTCCTGGGCCATTTTTGTTTTTCCGAGATTATCACTATAAAAGAGAAAAAAGAATTCGAGGATTACAACTTCAACATATAGTTCACGTGTGTCTTTCCAAAATTTACAAACACTGTTATGCTATTTATAAACTAAGTCTTTATAAAAATATCAAATATTAATTCAATGATATACTTTGTGATCTGGCATTGAAACATGTGGAATTCAAAGCTGACTAAGGAGCAGCATCTCTTTTCAATCCTTTAGCTCTCTCTGTGGTTGTAGGAGCACTCGCTGGAGATAATATCTTAAGTCTAGATTCCTCAACCCCCCCTAAACTGTGAGACCTGTCCTACATGGTCTTCCAAGACTTCCCATCTCCAGTGGTGGGCCCTGACCTCAACTTTGTTTTCTGAAAAGCTCATCAGGGAGATTGCAGAAGACCCTAGTCTCATGAGAACTGTATCACAACACATCCTAGGGGTAAGTCACTTTACAGCTGACTGCTCATTTTTTCTGTTGATTCTTACCAGCTTTAATTTTGGAGACTGACTCCCAATCCTAACAGCATACCCTGTGGGGACTGCCCACCCTATTCTCGATCATCTCTTAAGGAGTCAAGACAAGAGGGGCACCTGGATGGCTCAGTGGGTTAAGCCTCTGCATTCTGCTCAGGTCCTGATCTCAGGGTCCTGGGATCGAGCCCCACATGGGACTCTGCTCAGCGGGGAGACTGCGTCGCTTTCTCTCTCTCTCTGCCTGCCTCTGCCTACTTGTGATCTCTCTCGCTGTCAAATAAATAAAATCTTAAAAAAAAAAAAAAAAGGAGTCAAGACTAGAAGCTCCAGGTGGGGGATAGGGAGGAAACAGTGGAGGTGCTGTAGGATCCCTTATCAGATGAGGAAGCTGCAGCTGGAAGCTTGTGTGGTAGACTCCTATCTTTACCCTGTTAACCACCTGGGTGTCTTACCACAGAGCGAGTGACCCAGGGGTAGGCACTCTAAGGGACAAAAATAAATAAATAAATAAAGCAAATGTTGCTTGCTCAACAAATGTAACCCAAGAAGTCAAGGATCGGAGGAGATAAAGATTTCAAAAAACAAAACACTTATGTTAAAAATTTGTCATCTAATGAACGAGAATCTGAGAGAATGAACAACCTCTGAAAAGAGGTTAAAATCTTCCAAAGACCAAGGGTCTCAGAATATTGTATATTGAATACTCCTGCATGATTTGAACCCAAATGTCTTGAGTGTCCCAGGTGTGGCCAGCCTGTGGGCCAGCAATGTACATGGTCAGGACTGTCCCAGGCTTCCCAGGGCCTGAGGGGAGCAAACAGTTCAATAAGCAGTCTCAGTCAGTTTAATACAAGATAATTGTATTTATGGGGGGATAAATACAAGAGGGAAAGTGTGTGGGGGAGGGACAGGGAACTAGGAACCAAGGTCTGGCTTCTGGGTCTAGGTAAATTACACTTCAAAGAATGTTCTAAGCGGTTAAAAATGCTTGTTTTTAAAGTACATTTATTTTAAGGTAGAGTTTTCCCAGACTCTTACTGGCTGGAAGAGGGGAAGGGGTCTGGTGTTGGTAGACGATACAAGATGAACTCCTGAAGATGGTTTAATTTATTTATTTGTGATTTATTTATTGGCACACATTGAAGAGGCAAGACGATTTTGAGTTACCAGAAAACTAGCCCTTTCAGGATAGAGAGGAAGGTAAAAGAGCACATTTCTGTGCTGCATCTTTATCTTCGAGGTAAGGAACTCCTCCTGACCTCTCCCGCGCACCCACCCGCCCTGGGAGACCCTCTCTGCCAGGCCTTTTACAGAATTACATGTAAAAACTTTATTTACGGTCTTTCTGTTCCACATTCCCAAGGCTTCCTTTCCTGCGAAGGGTAAAGGGTGCCCTTCCGAGCATCCTCCGGAAGGAAATCTCATCCATTCGGTCAGGAAGTGAGCCTGTCCCCCTAGAAAGAAGAACGCGAGGCATTCAAGGGTAGGGGCCCGAGAAGAGGGGCACGGCTGGAGTTGCCTCCATGCCGATTCCCCCCCAGTGTGAATTCTCGGGTAGAAACAGTCTGGGTGAAGCTCCTGGAGAGACAGGAAACACGCACCACCTGGGCAAGAAAATCAAGCTCTGCCTGTGCAGAAAAAGTCATTGCACAGGGCGCAGGCGGTGGGCCCCCAACACAGTTCAGTTTCAGTCTGACGGGTGGGACTGTGAGCTGCGCACCACGCAAAGCTGCTGAGCACACCCCAAAGAGGAGCAGAGCCTGATGGCGTTCCCAGGGGGCAGGACTCTAGGTGGCCTCGCCATCTGTAAGCCGAAGCTGTCAGTCTCGCCTTTGCAAGGACGGGAGGTGTGAACGCGGCGCTTCTTGGAACGAGGCGTGGGCATCAAAGGCTGTGCGCACCTGCATGGCCTTCTGGAAAGCCAGAGTGCGCGCCCGCAGGGTGCCTCGCAGGGAGCCCTCTTGCCCCGCGCTCAGCTCGGGGCACCCTCTCCGGATCTGCGGGCGTCCCCGGAAACCCCGAGTCCCGCCCAGGTGCGGGGAGGCAGGGGGCGCAGGGGGATGGCGGTGGTGCGAGGCGCGGCAAGTTGGACGGGTGACAGGAGCCCTCCTCGGAGTCTCCGCCCACAGCGTCCTCAAACACGTGCACAGATGTCAGCGAGAGCCCCTTGGTGTCTGCAAACACCACCTGCTTCTTGGGCCCCTGGGGGTTAGGAGGTCGTGCCAGGCAGGAGCGCGAGGGCCGCAGAGGCCGCCGCTGGGCTTGGCCGGATCGCGGGAGCTGCTGCGGGGACCGGCTGTGGCCGAGGCAGAGGTGCATGGGGCGAGGCACAGGAGACAGGCCGGCAGCCCTAGGAACCTTCAACAAGAAGGCAGGGACATTCTGAGGACGGGGCGGAAGGACCTGGCATTCCCCACGGGAGCCCAGCCTGCCCCTCTTCCCTGCCCCATCGCTGCACTTCTCCCCTGGTGTCCCCTGCCCGGAAATGTCTGATGAAACTGGGTAAAAGGAAGCACAGGCAAGCGTGGGCTGTGGGCCGGGCGCCACGGGGGAGCCCGTGGGTTCCCGAAGGCTGGAGCACTTACCCCCCGCGGCTCCCGGCAGCTGCAGCTCCTGACGTCTGGGACCGCGCTCCCCAGCGGGAAGTACTTATGCGCTCCGGACCCCCAGCCGGCCAGCCGCTGCGGGACACTGGCCCCTGGAGGCGGCCAATCAGAAAGGCCTTTCGCGTCCGAACCGCTTGGGGAAGCGAAAGGATGTGACGAGAGTGTGACTCAGACACTTTGCCGGGGGGCCGCCAGAACTCCACCCCTGACCAGACAGCCCGAGGGGTCACTCTGGGGTTATCCATGGCTGTGGTCGAGGGCGAGGAGAGGCAGGGCGAGGACAGGGTCCCAGGCTTCCAGGGAGGAGGCTTCCAGCGCACTGCCTCTGGTTTCCCCCAGGGAGACAAGACAGACTTTTCTCTGCCTCTTCCCTTGACAGAGTCTGCTTTGCCGCGCTTCCCTGTGCAGTGACCTGTTGCCCACTTTTTGACTGCCCTTCTCTCCACCTCAGGGTTTCTTCCCAATCACGCTCTCCACTGCCTTCTTTCTGTGTTTCTGTTTCTGCGACGATTTATTACTCTGTACCCCTTGGTGTGTATGTGGGTGTGATCTAAAGAAAAGAGGAAGGTCACTGGGTGAGGCACTCATTGACCAATATCACTCCTATAGGGCCTGGGGCTTGGATCTCTGGTTCAGTCAGTTGTGGCCCGAGTGACAGGGTCACAGGCTACAAAGTCCCTCTATAAGGAATCCCACCAGGCAGGCGGGCATGGCACACCTGTGCCAGACATGATCAGATCAGATTGCCTCAGGGGCTGGACAACTTCCCCTGTGTTCTCACTTCTGGCATCCTTCTCCAGCCTCCTCTGCAGACCGCTGTATTCTCTCATCCCTTCAATCTTTTTTTTTTTTTTCAAAGATTTTATTTATTTACTTGACAGAGATCACAAGTAGGCAGAGAGGCAGACAGAGGTGGGGGGGAAGCAGGCTCCCTGCTGAGCAGAGAGCCAATGTGGGGCTCGATCCCAGGAACCCAGGATCATGACCTGAGCTGAAGGCAGAGACTTTAACCCACTGAGCCACCCAGGCGCCCCACAATCCCTTCAATCTTAATGCACCCCAAGTCCTCAGCACTCTGCATTTTTCACTTTAGACCTTTTCCTTGGAGATCCTGATCCAATTTTGACAATTATTCAATTACTTTCATATGCTGACTTGCACATCTGGGTCTAGATTAGACCTTTCTCTCATTGCACCCCAGACTCCTAGATAATGGCTCTACTTCTTGACCTGGGTGGTGGTACCACAGGTGAGTTCACTTTGTGATTTTGTCTTCAATTAATCAAAGGTTTATTTCAAGGAAAAAAAACTGGGTGCCTGGGTGGTTCAGTCCGCTAAGCATCTGCCTTTGGCTCAGGTTGTGATCCTAGGGTCTTGGTTGGAGTCCCAGCTCAGTGGGGAGCCTGTTTCTCCCTTCCCCTCTCACTCTCTTTTTCTCTCTCTCAAATAAATAAAATCTTTTAAAAAATAAAGAAGGGGCGCCGGGGTGGCTCAGAGGGTTAAGTCTCTGCCTTTGGCTCAGGTCATGGTCTCAGGGTCCTGGAACCGAGCCCCACATCAGGCTCTCTGCTCAACAGGGAGCCTGCTTCCTCCACCCCCCCGCCTCTCTGCTTACTTGTGATCTCTCTCTCTGTGTCAAATAAATAAATAAAATCTTTTAAAAATAAAGAAAAAAAACAGCAAGGAGGTAAAATTGTTAATTATATAGGGGTTTGGAGATTTTATTCTTACAAAAATGGCCTCAGAATGAATATGTATAAAGTCAATATGTATTTTACACTTAATACATACAGCAGTGAACATCATTTCGTATTATAAACGTGGCTCATTTTTCACCCATGGGGCATGGTATTCTAGCATTAGGGTCCACCATACTCTATCACACGCAGTTCGGTGATTCTAAATATTTTTAAAAGATTAATTTATTTAATTTAGAGAGATAGAGCCCGAGTAGGAGCAGGGGAAGAGGCAGAGGGAGAGGGAAGAAGCGGACTGCCTACTGAGTGCAGAGCCTGAGGCGGGGCTCAATCCCACAGCCCGGAGATCATGACCTGAGCTGAAACCAAGAGTTGGATGCTTAACCAACAGCCACCCAGGCGCCCCATAGGTGATTCTTAATTTTTTTTTGCCAGTAAAGTAGTGCAACTAAAACTTTTGCATACTGGGGCACATACATACTGGGGCTCCCAGGTGGCTCAGTCAGTTAAGCGTCTGCCTTCAGCTGGGGTCATGATCCCAGGGTTCTGAGATTGAGACCTACTTTGGAGTCCCTGCTCAGTGGGGAGCCTGCTTCTTCTTCTCCCTCTGCAGCTCTTCCTGTTTGTGCTCTCTTTTTCTCTGTCAAATAAATGAATAAAATCTTTAAAAAAAAAACCCACGCCCTCATAAAAACTCTTGCATACATACACTTGTGTACTTGTGTGAGAATTTCTTCATGACAGATATTGAGAATGAAGACTTGTTAGTTCAAAGGACACCCCATATTGCCTCCAGAAAGACTGTGTCAGTTTACAATTTCACCAATAACTTTCAAGAGTTGCCCTCTTTCGATAGCTTCACCATCACTACAGTGATCACACTTCAAAATATTTTCCAATATGAAAGGTGAAAAACAGTATCTCGTGATTTTTTTCTTAAATATTTATTTATTTTAGAGAGAGAGAGAATGGCGGGGTAGAGGAGCAGAGGGAGAGAGAGAATCTTAAGTAGGTTCCTCACCCAGAGCAAAGCCCCATGTGGGGCTCAGTCTCGTGACCCAGACATTATGACCTAAGCCGTAATCAAAAGTCGGACACTCAACTTATTGAGCCACCCAGGGGCCCTGATCACATATTTATTTATTTATTTTTAAAGATTTAATTTATTTAAAGATTTATTCATTAAAGATTTATTTATTTAAAGATTTATTTATATGTTTGACAGAGGGAGACACAGCGAGAGAGGGAACACAAGCAGGGGGTAGTGGGAGAGAGGGAAGCTGGCTTCCCTGCCAAGCAAGGAGCCTGATGCGGGGCTCGATCCCAGGACTGTGGGATCATGACCTGAGCTGAAGGCAGACACTTAACGACTGAGCCACCCAGGCGCCCCGTGATCATATTTTTAAATGAAAATGGCGTGTAGCATTTTTCTCATTTATTTTCTGCCATTTCTATTTCCTTCTCAGTGAAACACATAGTCAAATCTGCCAAGTTTACAGTAAGCCATTTATATATTTTTTAAACAAAGTAGTAGTTCTTGGGTTAATAAATAACGTTGGCACAGTGGGCTGTCTTTTTTTTTTTTTTTAAGATTTTATTTATTTATTTGAGAGAGACAGAGATAGTGAGAGAAAGCGTGGGGGCGGGGTGTGGAGTGGGAGAAGCAGGCTCTTGGCTGAGCAGAGAGCCCTTCAAAGTGGGGCTGGATCCCAGCATCCTGGGATCATGACTGAACAGAAGGCAGGCACTTATTGGACTAAGCCACCCAGGCGCCCCCATGAGAATTATTCTTAAGCATGTTATTGAAATTTCTAAGGGATGATCCTTGGGGAGGATATTTTTCATCTTGATTTTAAGTTCTATTGTGGGTCACCTTTTCTTTCTTTCTTATGCACCAATACTCTGGATTACCACATTGTAGGTAAAGGGTGTGTTAGGTGCTGAGGTGTGCAGGTGAACAGAAATGGGAAGGTTGCTGACCACACGGGGTTTAACTTCTAGCATTCAGAAAATGTGGTCTTTATTACTTTTATCTTGGGGAATTTATTGAGATTTTCTTTGTTGGTCAAAATGTGAACAAATTTTCTTGAAAAAAAAAAGTGTTTTCTTCTTTTGTTAAAATAAAATTCCCTCACTTGAATGCAAATTCTGAGGAATGAGTGTTCAAATCTTCTATGATGACAGTGTTTTTATCAAATTCATATACTCTCTGATAACTAAACTTTATATCACTGCAATACTGCCTTGTTTGGTGCATGGAAGCTCAGTGCTATTATACCTTCTTGGTGAGTCTATCTTATATAGAGTGATAAGATTTTATTTATTTATTTGACAGAGAGAAAAATCACAAG